AAGAAACAAAAAGGTTGTGTGATAAAAAGTTGAAGCTTTGTTTAGCTTATTGTATCAGAAAAAATGGGAAAGAGAGGAGCAAATAAGGGTGTCCCAGAAATCCTTGTGGACCCCAGAGAACAAACAAAAAAAAAAGCTTGAATTCAGTAAACCAATTACTAAAAACAAAAACAAAACTTAAAAAACAAAGTAGCCTTGTTTTAGGCAAAGACAAAATGGATCTGTGGGGGGGTTTTATGGTGAAAGTGGCGAAACAAAGTTGGGTTTCTTTCTTCCCTTGTTTTCTTGGCCTTGAAAATGGCCTTATTTTTTAAAAGATTGAAGAAAAAGGTGGGTTCTTTTTCATATCATTTTCTGTCCTTTTCATTTTAGGCTGTTTGGTAAGTGTGATTATTCAAAATTCCATGATTATCTCTTGAAAATAAATCTGTTTTCATATCTTTTATATATATACTCACTAAAATCAGTACAATAATGAAGTAAAATTCTTTTTTCAAATAATGATTATTAGATTTTATATTTTCAAGTAGGATGATTTTATTTTCAAATAATGAAGTGAAATTTTTTACAATACGTTATGAAAAACATCGAAATTATAGGTTTGCTATGAAAGATGGGAGTCATGGAGAAGGGAATAAGATTTAAGCTAGTGATTTGGGTGGTTTATTTGGGGGGGGGGGTTTTGTTGTACCAAGTTATGTTAGGTTAAGAAACGGATAATTTAGTATTTAGGGATTCTATTTTTTTGCTTATGTTTGTTTCTTCAAGTCCTTCTCTCCCTCATTTTCATTCACCAACAACCGATAATTTAGGGGAACCTAAATCAGAAAACCCAAATTAAACCCAACTTAAATAAGTCATTTGATCGATGAAAGAATTTTAAACCCTTTTAACTTTTTTCAAATTTTATGTGACGGCTTTTGGGAATTTTTTTAATTTTTTATTAAGTTGAAAATAGCAGTAATGTGCTACATCAAATAAAACTAACGGGAGATAACGTTAGAGACTTTACTAAAAGCAAGTTAAAAATTCGATAACTGTAATGTAAGTTTTAAAAGTTTGATGATCAAAATTTAAACACCCTAAAAGTTTGATGATAATTTATATAGTTTACCGTGTTTTATTAATAAATTTTAATATAAATTATGAATTTTGGATCGAACATAATCCGAATTAATATACGAATATCAACAACAAAATTTAAATCGTTACATGAATTTTAAAATATATGCTATAAAATTTTATTTTAATAAAAAATTTAGTTTTAGTTAAACTATTTTCAATTTTATTTCCATATATTTTAAGCTTCTATTTTTATTTGTTCAATTATTCTTTTTTTATATATATATTATACTGTAGGCATAGTTATAATTATTATTCCTAAAAAGTAAAAGAACAAACAGAAATCCTTAACCTGTTTTTCCCCACGCGATGTTTCTAACTTTTCACTTTTGAATTGTGAAAAGTTTATCCATTGATTTTTTAATCATGAATTTAAAAAAAATATTCTCTTTGTTTTATTAAATTTTAATAATTAATTTTTTTTATTTTTTATTTAAAAATTTTTATTGATAAAAATCTAAAAAACAAATATTTTTTGGTGAAGTAAGAAACATATATTTTAAAATTTGTCAACCAAAAAAATTTTCAAATATGTAATTAATGTGATAAAAAAAAACTTATTATTTTTTGTATTATTAATAAAATATCGTCAGTAGGATTACAATTTTGATTAGATAAAATCTAATTATGGAATATTAAAATAAACTATTGAAATTTAAGCTAATCATTTCTTATTATGGAATATTTTAAGTATGTTATGTTTTTAAAATAAAAGTATATTATTCAATAAATAACAATTACTGGTATAAAATAAGTTATCTCGGTGGTTAAATGATGATTATTATCTTTAGAGGTCATTAATTCAAACACCAATGAATGTAGGATATTTTTAACGTTCATTATTAAATAATTAAAAATATTTATAGCTACTATCACTTATAATCATCTCAGATTAATAAAAATAAAATTCTAAGTAGATTATAATTAAAAAGAACTAGAGTATGTTATATATGATGGGTTTCAACAAATTTTAATCGAAAACCCAAAGTAATAATAGTGATTCTTCGATCAAATCTCGATCGTTATTGGACGATAATCAATTGAATTAATCCAAATACATTACATGAAAACAATATGAAATTTTGTTGCCTATATGATATATCCTTTCGGCAGTGACTACTTCTGCTCAAACTTTCACGGTTGTTGAAGTTGCAGGTGCCGGTGTCGGTGCCGAAGATGGTGATGAAGAAAAAAGGTTCTCAATACTATTTTCCATACCGGTGAAATTTTTGGTTCAATCAACCCATGACGAAGATCTCTCCTATGCACCATCCTTAGCTGGTTCGGGAGCAGCAGACACCGATTCGACGGCTTCTTTAACTTCTGTTACCGGTGCAGGTGAAGCTTCAATATCTCCGATGATAGATTGGATCGAAAGAATCATGATCATTGAGATCAAAACAATAACTAAAGTGATCTTTGCCATTTTTTCTCTGTTTCTTTGTAATAGAAAATAAAATAAAAGAGAGTATATGGCTTTATTTAATAAAATGCAATGGATGATTTAAGGTTGAAATCATGACAATTTATAGTATTTTGGAGGAGAACTATGCCTCGAGACCATGGGAAAGGTGACTACAATACTATTTTTTTATAGAGAAAATCGCTTCAGTGACCAAAAATGCCTTATAATATACGATTTTAACCAACTTTTTTTTGATTTGCCAAAATGACCAACAAAATCGCAACGCGATATCAAAACCGCAACGCGATTTAGAAAAGCGCAACGTTGAAAAGAAGATCGCAACACGATCTTCCAAGAATCGCAATGCGATTCATAAAATCGCAACGCGATCTTCCAAGAATCGCAACGCGATTAAGAAAATGAGTAAATTCTTTCAAAAGTTGTTGCATTTGTTTCTTTCTTAAGAATTTTCTCTAAAAAGATAGTATCCGCGCGGACGTGTCGAAGACACGTATTACCACGACCACGACCACGACCACGACCACGACCACGACCACGACCACGACCACGACCACGACCACGACCACGACCACGACCACGACCACGACCACGACCACGACCACGACCACGACCACGACCACGACCCGACCCGACCCGACCCGAGACGAGACGGCGGCGGCGGCGGCGCGCGAGAGTCCCCCTTGTTCTCTTTCACTCAACAAGGAAATGGGAAATCCAAGCCTTAAATACACTTCCCAATAGTGTTTCCAATACTATGTGGGATTGAGCATTACTCAACACTTCAAAGAAAATATAGCAATTTTTGTAGTATTTTCCCACTTAATCCATATCTAAAAATATTAAAACATTTTATCATATTAAAACTATATGTATAGTTTTGAATTAAAACTATACGTGTCTTCGACACGTCCGCGCGGATACTATCTTTTTAGAGAAAATTCTTAAGAAAGAAACAAATGCAACAACTTTTGAAAGAATTTACTCATTTTCTGAATCGCGTTGCGATTCTTGGAAGATCGCGTTGCGATTTTCTTAATCGCGTTGCGATTCTTGGAAGATCGCGTTGCGATTTACTGAATCGCGTTGCGATTTTCTTAATCGCGTTGCGATTCTTGGAAGATCGCGTTGCGATTCTTGGAATCGCGTTGCGATTTTCTGAATCGCGTTGCGATTCTTGGAATCGCGTTGCGATTTTCTTAATCGCGTTGCGATTCTTGGAAGATCGCGTTGCGATTTTCTGAATCGCGTTGCGATTTTCTGAATCGCGTTGCGATTCTTGGAAGATCGCGTTGCGATTTTATGAATCGCATTGCGATTCTTGGAAGATCGCGTTGCGATCTTCTTTTCAACGTTGCGCTTTTCTAAATCGCGTTGCGGTTTTGATATCGCGTTGCGATTTTGTTGGTCATTTTGGCAAATCAAAAAAAAGTTGGTTAAAATCGTATATTATAAGGCATTTTTGGTCACTGAGGCGATTTTCTCTATTAAATATATAATGACATATTTAATAATTAAATATATAATGACATATTTAATAATTATTGCTTATGTTATAAATTTTGTGTTTAGTACTTAAACTATTATTTTATTATATTAAAACTTGATTTAAATTATTTTAGGGTAATTTTGCGTTTAGTACTTAAACTATTATTTTTATCTATTTTAGTATCTAAATTTTCCTTTTTTTTCAAAATTATATCTAACGTTTAGTTTTTGTTTTATTTTTATCCACTTTAATGCCTTAAATTTTCGTTTTTTTTTCAAAATCATAATTAATAATTATTTCTGATGTTATTTTAATATAATTATGCGTTTAATACTTAAACTATCAGTTTTGATCCATTTTAGTACTTAAACTTTTCGTTTTTCCAAAATCATATCTAATGTTTAGTTTTTTTCATTTTGGTGCTCTTGTTAAAAATTTAATGTTAAATTTTAAATAAAATTAAAAGTCTATGTACTAAAACGAAAAAAAATGATAACTTATGTATTAAATGTATTAACGTTTTAAAAGATACTCAAAGTGAAACAAAAATTAACTGTTATATGATCTTAAAAAATTTAAAATTTAGGTAATGATCAAAGATCAAAACTGATAATTTAATATTAAAATTTTTATACACCCAAGATATTACACGTCACTGGGCTTTCATGAAATGCACGTATGAAAGAAACTGTCACACGTACACATGTCGATTTCCATCGTGTTCTGTTTCACAAATCTATTTTAACTCACAATTTTTTTTCTTTCAAGCCAAACATGTCCACTCCGGCCACTATCTTCAAACTGTCCCTTCCTTTGAATTCATTCAAGTCAAACATAACTAAACTACCCATCTCACTAACAACCACAAATTCAAACAACACAAAACTATCGCCGCCGCCATGGCGGCGAATACTAGCTGAAAGATCCTTTGGTGCCCCAAGGGAGGTTCATTCGGGGCCAAACTATATGTCACCGCCGCCGGATGCTCTGGAGATTCGGGGGACTACTGAAATGGAACCTTCCGATACCCCATTAGAATTCACCGCCGGCGACCCCCCACCACTCAGACGTCCTACACCTGACACTGGCCCTGATTTTCCAAAGCCACCATTGGGACCTCCTCCAACTGGTCCTGAAGTAGTTCCTGTCCCACCATCATCACCACCGAGTCGGGAGCCGCCACCTGAAGTGGATCCTCCTTCAATGCCTCCGGATTATCTGCCGCCAGAACTTCCAACACCAGGAATCCCTCCGTCACCATCTGTACTGCCAGAACTTCCAAGCCGGGAATCCCACTGCCACCATCTGTACCGCCAGAAATTTTAACACAGGGATTCCCTCATGATATTCCACCTCCTCCTAAAGGTCCATCATTTGTTTTCTAGATAGATCATTGATGTACAACTTGTTTGATACTTTTTCTCACTAATAAACGGATTCCATTTCCATTTTCTCTCGGAGGAACCGAGATATCCATCATAAAAAAATAAATCTAGGGTAAATTAGATATTTAAAATTATCGGTTTTTAAAATCATACTTAACGTTTATTTTTTGTTTTATTTCAATAATCACATTTAAAAATTTAAACGTCAGTAATCACTGTTAAAAATTTAAACGTGTACTTTTTAAAAGTGTTTAGTACATGAAATCTGTTGAAAAATCAGAAAGTGGACAAACCACTTTTCAGTGCAAATAATGGTTTTTCTGTAGATGCACCGAAATTATGAAAAAATAAAAAGGATAGCAGCTATTGTTGAAATTTGGTAAGGGTAAATTATCAAATTTACCCCCCTAAACTTTAGGGTATTTATAAGATTAGTCCTTAAGCTTCAACTATAAATACCCTAGCTCATTTAGTTTCAAAACAATCCCAAATCATTCTAGCTTTCTCCCAATACTAGAGAATTTAGATAGTTTCTTGAGAGTTGTTTTCTCCTTTTTATCAAGAGAGAATTATCAGTGTTTTCTCCTTGATAGATCGAGAAAAGTTGTAATTCTCATTTTCTCATAGTGAAATTCTTCTAACGTTGCCCGTGATTTTTACCCTATATTATTTAGGGGTTTTCCACGTAAATTTTGTGTCTCTTTTATCTTCATTTTTATTTTCTCAAATTATCGGTTGCGATTTTGCTCTATCTGATAGCCGTCTTCCGCAACAATTGATATCAGAGCCAGATTAGAATGTGTAATATTTACTTATTGTCTTTGTGGTTGCCACCAAAAGGTGGATCCTCCAACATAAGAAAGTAAGAATGTATTACTCATTCTTTGAAAGTTCAAGAGAATTATTCACGATAGTGAAGTAGTGGAAGCTATCCAAAATAGAAGCTATTGCAACAAAATTTGATATTGAAAAATTCAATGGGAGAAATTTCTCATTGTGGAAATTGAAGATGAAGGTCATCCTAAAGAAATACGGTTGTCTAGCAGCTATCAGTGAAAGGCCGGTAAATTTCACAGATGACAACAAATGGATCGAAATGGACGGAAATGTTATGGCAAACTTTCATCTAGCATTAGCAGATGAAGTATTGTCAAGCATCGAGGAGAAGAAGACAACTAAGGAGATATGTGATCATCTCACCAAATTATACGAGGCCACATCGTTGCATAATAAAATTTTCCTTAAGAGGAAATTGTATACTCTTCGGATGTCGGAATCTACTTCAGTGACGGAGCACTTAAACACGCTGAACACTTTAATTTCTCAGCTTACATCCCTAAGATGTACAATAAGAGAATAAGAACGTGTTGAACTTCTACTTCAAAGTCTACTTGATTCATATGACCAACTCATCATCAACTTGACAAACAGTAATGTTACCAGTCTAGTCTTCGATGACGTTGCAGCTGCTGTTCTACAAGAAGAAAATCGATGCAAGAATAAGGAAAACAGACAAGTAAATCTGCAACAAGCAGAAGTGTTGACAACGATGAAAGGGAGATCAACAGAACGTGGCCAAAGTAGCAGTCACAAACATGGTAGATCAAAGTCAAGAAGCAAAAAGAATTTAAAGTGCTACAACTGTGGAAAAAAAGGGTCACTTGAAGAAGGATTGTTGGAGTCTAAATAAAAACTTCAATCCACAAGGCAATACTGCAAACACTTCAGATTATGGAGATGCTCTATGTTGTGAAGCGTCAACCACCGTGGAAGGCAGAAAAAGATTTACAGATATATGGCTCATTGATTCGGGAGCGACATATCACATGACCTCATGAAGAGAATGGTTACATCATTATGAACCTGTATGTGTATAGTTGCAATGGTCATGCCTTAGAGATTGTTGGTGTGGGAACCATCAAATTGAAGATGTATGACGGAACAATTAAAGTTGTTCGAGATGTACGGCATGTGAAAGGCCTGAAGAAAAATTTATTATCCTATAGATTGTTGGATAATAATGCAAGAAAGATTGAAACACGGAAAGGAATCATGAAGGTGTTCCGTGGAGTGCTTGTGGTACTGAAAGGCGAAAAGATAGCAACAAACTTGTACATGCTGAAGGGAGACACTTTGCCAGAAGTAGAAGCCTCTGTTGCCTTATGTAGTTCAGATTCTGCAATGCTATGGCATCAGAAACTTGGACACATGTCATAACAAGGAATGAAAGTCCTTGCGGAACAAAAGCTACTTCCAGGCTTAATAAAGGTATCACTTACTTTGTGTGAGCATTGTATAACAAGTAAGCAGCATCGGTTGAAATTTAATACATCAAATTCTAGAGACAAAAGTGTTCTAGAATTGGTTCACTCTGACGTATGGCAAGCACCAGTTACATCCCTAGGTGGAGCAAAATATTTTATCTCATTTATTGATGACTACTCCAGGAGATGTTGGGTGTACCCTATTAAGAAGAAGTCAGATGTGTTTTCAACTTTCAAAAACTTCAAAGCGCGGGTGGAACTTGATTATGGGAATAAGATCAAGTTTTTCAGAACAGATAATGGAGGAGAATACACAAGTGAAAAAATTGATGACTTTTGTAGGAAAGAAGGCATCAAAAGACAATTTAAAGTGGCGAACACTCCTCAACAAAATGAAGTGGTAGAGCGGATGAACATAATCTTGTTAGAAAGAACAAGAGCAATGTTGAGAAATGCATGCCTAGAAAAATCATTCTGGGCAGAAGCAGTCAATACCACATGTTATTTGGTGAATCGAGCTCCATCAGCTACAATAGAGCTGAAGACATTAATGGAGATTTAGACTGGTAAACCAGCTGATTATTCAAACCTCCATGTATTTAAAAGTATAGTGTACGTGATGTACAACTCCCAAGAAATTTCAAAGTTGGATTCAAATCTAGGAAATACAAATTCTTGGGGTATGCTGATGGTGTAAGGGGTTTCGCTTGTGGGATCCCACTGCCCGCAAAGTGATCATCAGCAGGGATGTTATCTTTGTAAAAGATAAACTACAAAGAAAAGAAGACGATGATAGCGCTGAAAAGTTAGAGACTACTCAGATACATGTGAAAAAGGAATTTGAACAAGGAGATTCTTCTGAAGCAAAACCAACACATGATGAACAAGAACTAGAGAGTTTTGAAGCTGCTCCAACAACTAGTCAATCAGATCGTGTGAGAAGACGTCCCAATTGGCACTCAGATTATGTTATAGAAGGTAATATTGCATTACTGCCTTTTAACAGAGGACGGTGAGCCATCAACATACCATTACGCAATAAACAGCTCAAATGCTTCACTGTGGATGATGGCAATGTAAGAAGAAATTGAAGCCCTTCATAAAAATAATACATAGGACCCTGTACCACTATCACAAGGAATGAAGCCAATTGGTAACAAATGGGTCTTTAAAATCAAGCGAAATGGTGACGATCAAGTTGAGAGGTATCGTGCAAGACTGGTGGTCAAAGGATATGCTCAAAAAAAATGTATTGATTTCAATGAAATGTTTTCTCCTATGGTTCGACTAATAATAATTCAAGTAGTTTTGGCAATGTGTGCTACATTGAACTTACATCTAGAGAAGCTAGATGTTAAAATAACTTTTCTTCATGGAAATCTTAAAGAAGAGATTTACATGCTCTAGCCTGAAGGTTTTGAAGAAGACGAAAAGAAGAACTTGGTTTGCAGGTTGAACAAATCTCTGTACAGTCTAAAGCAGGTGCCGAGGTGTTGATATAAGAGATTTGATTCATTCATTATGTGCCTTGGATACAACAGACTTAATGCTGACCCTTGTGTTTATTTCAAGAGGTCTGGTGATAACGATTTTGTTATATTGTTGTTGTATGTGGATGGCATGTTGGTTGTAGGACCCAATAAAGATCATATTGAAGAATTGAAGGCACAACTAGCTAGGGAATTTGAAATGAAGGACTTGGGATCAGCAAACAAGATTATAGGGATGCAAATTCACCGAGATAGAAGTAATAGGAAGATTTGGCTTTCACAAAAGAATTACTTGAAGAAGATATTGTCAAGATTCAACATGCAAGATTATAAATCAATTTCTACCCCGCTTCCTATTAACTTCAAATTATCCTCCAGTATGAGTCCTAGCAGTGAAGAAGAGAGGATGGAGATGTCTCGAGTGCTGTATACATCGACAGTGGGAAGTTTAATGTTCACTATGATATGCACAAGACCAGACATTGCACAAGTAGTGGGAGTGGTTAGTCGGTACATGGTGAATCAAGGCAAAGAGCATTGGAATACAGTAAAGAGGATCCTGAGATACAACAAAGTGACCTTAAATGTTGCATTATGTTACGGATGATCAAATTTACTTATCAATGGGTATGTTGATTCTGACTATGCAGGGGATTTGGATAAAAGCAAATCTACTACATGATATGTGTTCAAAATTGCTGGTGGAGCTGTAAGCTGGGTGTCAAAATTACAGTCAGTTGTGGCTACATCCACAACAGAAGCATAATATGTATCAGTTACACAAGCCAGTAAAGAGGTAATTTGGTTGAAGATGTTATTGGAGGAGCTTGGGCAAAATTAATAGTATGTCTCTCTGTTTTGTGACAGTCAAATCGCCTTGCATCTAGCAAGGAATCCAACATTTCATTCAAGAACGAAGCACATACGAGTGTAGTACCATTTCATTCGTGAAAAACTGGAAGAAGGGACGGTACATATACAGAAGATCCATACCAAAGACAACATAGCATATTTCATGACGAATGAGATCAATGTTGATAAATTTACTTTGTGTCGATCCTCTTGTGGCTTGTTAGAGACGTAAGCAACATGATGGTACAAGGTAGAAAGAATGGTGTGATGATATGATTATTCCAATCAAATCTTCAAGTGGGAGTTTGTTGAAAAATCAGAAAGTGGACAAGCTA